GAGATGCACTTAATACACCAAGCCATAAATCAGTGCTATCAACAGAAGCTGGGTTCATGAGATCCTAAGCCACAAGCAAACTTGACATACAATGGGTGACCCATTAATCCATAAAATTTAACTAGGGTTTATTCAACTGACACACTTTTAATGGCTTGCCTAATATACTAAAACACAAACTTAATTACATAGGCAAGTTTTGTACACATGGTAAATTTAAATGTAATTGGAATGTTTCAGATTCAATGTCCTATTTCAATAGCGATTGGAATTGTAGATTGGAGGTTTTTTTCAACAGTTATTTTTGTGCTTGTTATTTTTGCTCTACATTGCCCATGGTTACATTGTTTGAGCTGGTTGGCTTGATAAATCCAATAAATAAATAAATCAGAGGATATTTGTTAGGAATATAATCTANGCAGTGTCTCTGTATGCTGGTTTGTGTGTTCTCCAACACAACTCTCACAATGGTTCGCTGAACTTACTCGCTCTCCCAACAGGGTGCTTACCTAACAGATATAACAAATAAAAAACCTTGAAAAAGAAAAACAGCATGGAGATGGAAATTGGATCCATCTTTTCAAAAGTTGTGCATGTTCACTATGCTGATCAACAGTGCTGATATTAAATTCAATCCTTATAACATGACCTGTGACATGACGCAATCCTTCTCTTGTCATTTTGTTGAAAGCAACAGGACTCCTCAGATGCCCAGGGCTAAATGAAACAGCATATTGACTTCTCAATAGCCTATTTTAAAAATCTTTTAATACCATTGGAGCAGTGGTGGGTTGCAAGTGGTACGCCCTGGTACAGGCGTACCAGAGCCTGCCCGGAGCACCAGGTACCATTCCGGAACGATGCTCCGGAGGGCCCACCCGCCCACCGGAGCTCCTTACCTGTCCTTTAAAGCCTTTGGCGCTTCTGTGCATGTACATGGCACGTACAGCACCTGGGCAAAGCTCCGCTGAGCAGCTGGAGCATCACGGAGGCTTGCAGAGGCATCACTGGCAGCAGGTACGAAGCATGCGCATGCCGTGTGCGTCCATGTGGGCTACACCGGGTCCGTTCCAACCATACCGGTTGGAATGGGATTCAGAACCCACCACTGCATTGGAGATAAAATTATCTGAGTGGTCTAGCATGCTCCTCATGATAGGCTTGTTTTCCATGTCCATCAATGCCATTGATCCAAAATCTAATATACCTTAATGAAATAATATCTAACAAGAAAGACCAAAGCACAACTATTAAGCTTGCTATATGGGTTCTTTAGTAATAAAAAAAAACATCATTTTATCCTATTGTGATCCATCCAGAGTCAGCCTGGAGTCAAGTGGCATTGAAAATGATCGAATAAATGAATTAATAAATACATAAAAACTTGAGGAAATTGGACCTAACTACACAATGATGTAACATTATAAAAATCATCTCACAAAAGCAAAGGAAATGTTTTATTTTTGTTGCCAGCCTTTGAATGCAAAAATAGGCTGGGGGTGGGAGGAGGTTACATCGTACCAGATAGATTAGACTATAGGAAAGTTGGAAAGCCAAAGTTGTTTTGATGGAGCCCAAATACTTTCTGTGTGTTCCTCTAGTGAAAGGCCTCCCAGCATGGTTATTATGAGCTCATATTTCCAGCTGTTTTTGTAACTCAGCCACTTAAAACTTTTCAGGGTATTTAAAAAAGGGGGCTAGCAGCTTATCAGCTGAGATACAGCTTTAAGAAATTGCTACAAAACTAAGATCTGAAATAAAAATAATTAATATGAAATGCTCTGTGGTAAAACCGAACCACATTTAAAAATTAATTTCATGGGACAAATAATTAAATATAATTAATGTTCAGGTTTACTATTAATCATGCTCTGCACTCAGAGATGCAATGGTGTATCTTTATGATCTCCTGTCAACCATTGCCTGTTGCCTTATATAAATATTGAATTTCATCTGTCCAGAATTGAGAGAGGATGGAAACCGTCCACACAGATAAATAGAAAGAAGTCCAGATTTCCAAGCCACATCATGCCTTTTCTCAGAAGCTTGATTTAGCAGGCTAATGTCTTTGCCACGTTGAAACACTTCAGATTAGAAATAAAACTGAGTTGATTCGGCCCAAAATATGGAAATATACCGCTGGTGATATTTAATGTAATGGCATTTAAAAGAAACAATCTTTTCATTTGGATGGACCTATTACTAGATTAGTCAATGGATGCAGTAGTAAATAGATCTTATAGAACATATAACATATGTTATAGAACATATAATAGAATAATAGGTTTTGAAAAGAACTTGGAGTCTTCTAGTTCAACCATCTGCTCAAGCAGGAGACCATAGTATACCACTCTGGACAAAGGGCTGTCCAGTATCTCCTTTAAAACCTCCAGTGATGGAGTACCTATAACTTCTGAAAGCAACCTGTTCCACTGATTAATTGTTCTCATTCTCAAGAAGATTCTCCTTCGTTCCAGGTTCGATATCTCTTTCATGACATTTTCATAGATTAGTTCTTATCCTGCTCTCAGATGCTTTCACTGTTTAAAATGATAACTTAGCCCAAGAATCCTGCAATGAAACTCCACATAGGTCCATCTCTGGCTTTTGAGGAGTTATTATTTTACTTTTCTGGAACCATAGAGTTTGAAATAACCACTTAGGTGATCAACCCTGTTCAGTGCAGGAATTCAGAATAATTCCTGTGTATCTTCTGCTTGCACACCCAGAAAAGGGAAGTCACTAGAAAAAATGTTTCTCAACTTCAGCAACTTTAAGTTGTGTGTACTTCAATTACCAGAATGCTGCCAAACTGTTTGCTGTGAAATTCTGGGAGGTGAAGTCCACATGTTTTAAAGTCATGGATTACTGAGGCCATTTCCTACTGTTAGGACATTACATCAAATCTTCCTCATGCAACTGAAGAACAGTATTCCATTTCCTAAGCTGTGTTGGATATAGTGCTTGAATGTATTCATTCCTAATATAAATAAAGTTAGCCCCAAATGATGAAACTGGGAATACAGGATTTGCTATATTTCAATGTTATCATTTCAGGGTGTATAATAATGGTATAATGAAGTATCATACTTCAGCAAGCAACAGGCTAGTTCAATGATGGTGAACCTTTTCGGCACCAAGTGCCCAAACGAGAGTGCATGCACGCCAGAGCCCCAGAAGCTCGAAGACCAGCTGGCCAGTGGGCACGCACATACTGGCCAGCTGCTCTTCTGGTTTCCGGTGCGCATGCCAGCTGGTCTTTGCACATACTGCAGCACTGGAAACTCAAAGACCAGATGGCCGGCATGCAAACTGGCCAGCTGGTCTTTGGGTTGCCTGGGCTCTGGCATAGGCAAAGATCAGCTGGTAAGCGTGCCAGAAACCAGAAAAGCAGCCGGCGATGGTGCATGTGCCCAGAGAGAGGGCTCTGCGTGCCACCTATGGCACATGTCATAGGTTCGCCATCACGGGGCTAGTCAGTACATAATATGATTGAAAATGCAGTTGGTATAAAAAAAATGGAAATAACAAATCTGTCAACTTTCTGCTCTCCTCAAAGTTTTTCCTCAAAAATAAGGTACAATAGGGGCCAGAAAAACATAGCAATGGACCACCAGTTAATGTTGGTCCATAATTGAAAAGACTTAGAATCTTCTATATGTCTCCAGGTCCTCAGATGTTGTGGAATCAAGAAGAAGAAGACCTTAAATAATGATCCAAATGTCTGGCTGACTCTGTCTCTGATATGCATGTATGTGTAGAGCAAGGAGAGAAAGCATATGGAGAGATAGCGTGCATTGCAAGCACCGGATTTTTCAGAGTATAAGATGCACCGGAGTATAAGACGCACCAAGATTTTGAAGAGTCAAATTTTTAAAAAAGTTTTTGCACTCTGCAGACCTCCCAAAAAGGGCCCGTTTTTTGTCAAAAAAAGAGGGCATGCATAGCCTTTAGGAGGCTTATAGAGTGCTTCTGGGGGCTAGGGGGGCAAAAACAAGCAAAAAATGGCCCATTTTTTGCTCCTTTATGCCTTCCCCAGCCCTCAGGAGCACTCTGGAAGCCTCCTAAAGGCTATGCATAGCTATTTTTGCAAAGGGGGCAGGGTTTCATGAGACAAAAAATGCTGTATTCAGTGTATAAGACGCACCCAGATTTTCACCCTCTTTTTTGAGGGAAAAAGGTTCATCTTATACTCCGAAAAATACGGTATTTGTATATTTCCATCACTTTATATACTGCTTCTAAGATTAAGTTCAGCAAAAAAGCCACATGTCTATGTTGATGAAAGTTTACTGGGATGAAATCTTCCACCTTCCAGATGTTGCTGATAGTCTCTATGTCTATCATGCTGGCTGGGTTGCTGGAAACTGTGGTTCACTAACAGCTGGAGGGCCATTTATGGTTTATCGTCTATTGAGGGTCAACAGCATAAATGTCAATAGAAAGGAGAGAACAGGAAATAGAGGAGAAAAGGAAGCTACAAGACTAATAAAACAACTGATGAGAGGGCCTCCTGATTGATCAGAATAAGACTGGCTTCTATTCTTAAGCACAAAGTTCAAACTATAAGAGCAAAAAAGTACAAAGTGTTTGAGATTGATCAAAGGGGCCAGCATACATAGTTTTTCTAGAAAGAATGCCAGATCTAGATTTGATCAGGATAAAATCTAAATTTGCTTTCATTTTCTTTATTTTTTTCCAGGGAAATAAAGTGATTAGGAAAGTTAAATCAATTGACTATGTTTCCTCAGTGGCCATGTATTTTGTCACCATCTCCTTCTGTCACACATTAACATTACAATTTAGTGACTTTTGGGTAGACTGTGGGGGCCAAACCCATCCACGTGGCCAGGTTGGGCTTCAAAAATTTTAGCAAGGAGTTCTCTGCCCCGATTGCACTCAATCCCGACAAGACCGAGTGGCTATTGATGCTCCCTCCCAAGGATGGTCCAGTTATTCCATCTCTTAGTCTGGGGGGTGAAACTATACGCCCNAGCGCAGCCCAGGAGAAGCGAGCGCGATGAAGGACCGAACGCAGGAGCTGCGCACGGTGAGTAATTCGGACCGAGCGGCTGAGGGTCTCCCCGCCGGCCGGGAGGAGGGAAACGGGAAGGAGGGCGGCGAGACGGCGGCTTTTCCGCGGCAACAGGCGGCTCTCCGCCCGCCTTGCTCTCCGACAGCTGCTTTTCTTCGGTACCCGGAGGGACGCCCCGTCAATGGGAAAAACGAGCGAACGCTTAGGAAGAGGGCGGGCGGGGGAGGCGGCAGTGGCTACCATCTCCTTTTCCTGAAGCTGGGCGCGCCTGTATCATCTAGCTGGGGAGGGGCGCGCGGCGAGGGGAGGGATGCTCTTCTTTCCCCTATGGGCGTGAGGGGGGCAGAGATTTGGGGTCAGAAGGGGTGGTGGGCTTCCTTCCTTTTCGGTATCTTTCCAGCCAGTGCCTTGTCTGCGTGCGCGGGAGGCGGGGGCGGGAATGTCTTTGGCAGACGGTGGGGTGAGTTGCAAAGAGGAGGATGGATGGATCACGAAAGGATGGATGGAGTGAAGGAAGACCTGGAACAGAAAGTGTGGGTTTTCTGGTGGATCCACTGATGGTGGGAATGTGATCCTTGGCCTGGATTCGCCTAGGCTTAAAAACTGTAAAATATGCTGTATTAACCTAGCCATTGTAGTTGATTTGGGGGCTATGTGGGACTAGAACCCTGACAAATTAATGGAAACAAGGTTCAGTTAATGAATGGTGGCTGTCGGATGAACACAGTTATAAAGAGAGAGAAGTGGAATGAAGCAAGGGAGAGGATGCTGAGGGTTGGACCACTCAAAGGATGTAAGGATGAAGGGAGTTTGGGCAAAAGACACTTTGCTTTTACAAGAAGTCTTTGACTTAACAATCATCCTTTTAGTAGCTGTTTCAAAGTTACAATAGTACTGCAGTTGCAACAGCACTGAAAAAGTAATCTATTGCCTTGTATGTAGGACTCCCTTGGTCAAATTTTAAAATCAAAATTTGCATGCTTGGAAACTGGCATGTATTTACAATGACTGCAGCATCCTGAAGTCACCATTTGCGACTTTCCCAGCTGGCTTCCAACAAGCAAAGTCAGTGAGGGAAGCCAAATTTGTTTAATGATTGCGTGATTCACTTAACAACTGCAATTCCCAGGAGACCATGATGGATAGCACCACTGTGTGCTACCAAAACTGCACAAAAGGCAGGTATTCTGCCCCCACCATCTGTTTTATTATCTTTATTTTGTTCAGACCCTGTTCTCTTGAAAAGACTGATATGGCTTAATAGAGGATTGGAAGACCTGGACATATATGGAATATTGTACATTATTGTACATTCATGCAGATAACTAGGAATAGATTGTTAATTTCATTGCTGGCTAGACCAACCAAGAGTGGTTGAAACCATGAAATTACTTTGTTAGCAGACAATACAGGGGATTGATTTATTCATAAATCTAATGGGTTGATTTTTTAAAAAATATGTAACTTATGGAATGAAGGTGGAATTCATATTGGAATGTTATTTTTTGATTGGATAATGATAAAGATAAATTGTTACGTAATTGCTACAATTCTGTTTGCTACCTGAGTGTCTGAAGTTGATGTCTCTTGATGTTTGGTTATGTAACAAAGCCTACTTGAACATAGAAGGTGCTTCTATCTAAGTGAGCAAATACAATTGTGGAATGAGAATTCGGAATGTTCAATGTGGAAAAAAAAGAAATGAGGCAGACATGATAATTGGGTTCAAGGAACAAGAAGGGAAGTAACAGGAAGAAATCAAGAGCTGTTTTTTATGGCTATAGAAACTAGCATCAGAAGTAACAAGTGTGAGGAGCAGCTACTGCTCCTAGGTTTTGTTTAAATATAAGGAAAATCTTCCTGGTAAGATCTATACAACAGTAAAACAGTCTACCTGTAGTAGTTGAAATGTCAAGCGTATAGCATATATTGTGGCACAAGTCCACAACTCTTAAACGTAGAACATAGAATAATAGGGTCAGAAGGTACCTTGGAGGTCTTCTAGTTCAACCCCCTGCTCAAACATGACCCTTGATATCATTCCGGAGAAATGGCTATCCAGTCTCTTCTTGAAAACCTCCATTGATGGAGTATCCACAACTTCAGGAGGTAAGCCATTCCGCTGGTTAACTGTTCGTTCTGTCAGGAAATTTCTCCATAGTTCTAGGTTGGATCTCTCTTTAATGGCCATCCAAAGCAGCTGCATCATTTCCTAGGACCATGTAGTAGCTTTAGAGAGCAGCCACATGATGCAGGGGAAAATATGGTTCCTTTAAAGAGTTACAGACTAATTTCATTTCAGACACTAAAACACATATTTGAAATTAAATCCAATATGCACTCTAGATCTGGAGAGGTGCCATATAAAATCCAAGATTTTATTAGAAAGAAGATCAAATAATGGAATTATTATTATTATTATTCCTTCAAATAATGGATTTTTTCCTAGATTAGAACAAACCCCCTATACATTTTGGCAAAAGCAATATAAACAGTCAGTAAAGCTACAAGATAATATACTTATAGCCATATACAAAAGATACTTAAGACAATTAAAAAAAACCTCCATTTAATTATATTTGAAGAAAGAATCTGACTAACCTGAAGCTTTAAAAGTGGAAATTGCAGAAAAAATTAATGAATCATTCACTTCTGGTTTTGCTGCTGAATGTACAAGAGATGCCTGGATGGCAGTTCAACAGAGGCAACAACAGATGAGATTATTATATATAAACTGGCAAATTAAAAATAATTCTCTGCTTCAGAATGCAAATATGAAATTGCTGACTTGAAAAATAAGCAACATAGAAAAAGGTTGTTATGGGTTGACTGGAAAATAAACAGATATGCAGTAGTTTGTTTAATGGTTAATGGTTAAGTAGCAGTAACCCTGTTATCCTCCTTTTCAATTAAACAGATATCTCCCCTAAAGGTTACTACATAGCCAATGTTAACCAAAGCCCTAACTGATAATAAATTGAATTTCAGGTTAGGTACATATAACATTGGTAACTGCTCATTTAGGAATGAACAACATGCATTACCTTCACCAGACGCCTTCAACTTCCATCCGTTTGCCAAAAATACATGTTCCTTGCTTGTAGTCATTTTTACAAACCGTTTTCTATCTCTAGCAATGCATTGTGATGTTCCACTATCAACAACCCACAAATCATGGTTTACTGGTGCATTGCTAGACAAGCCAAAGTAGACATAGCTAAGTTGACATTAGCATTTTTTCTAGCTCTTCCGGCATTCGGTTGTTTTGCCTTTTTACAGAACCCAGCTATATGTCCCTTCGCCCCACAAGAATAACATTTTCGAACAGTATAGGCAGTAGAAGGTGACTCCTCATGTTGTGGTGGTTTCTCTCTCACTTGTTCCCTCTTCATCCTTCTTCTTGACTCTTCAAACAGTCATGCAGTAATGTCAGTCAATGTTAGTTCATGTCGGGTTAAGGCTTCAAGAGAAGATACAAAAACATCATAACTCTCATCCAGTGAGAAGAGTATGATATAAATTTGATGTAGCTCAGAAAAAAATTAGTTCTTTTTCATGTAGCTCCTGGAAAACCCCTTTCATAAAGGTTAAATGAGCATATCTCCACCTTTCAGAAGACGTGCCCTAAACAGTTTGCGTGTGAAATGTATGTGTGCACCTACAGTGTCACATACATAAATTCTCTTCAAATTCTCCCAACATTTTGCAGCAGAATTTTATCCACGAATATGTAATAATTGTTGGTCATTCAGTGTTAGACCAATTATACACAACGCCCATTCGTTGCATTGATGAGCTATCCTCTTGGCATCATCATTGTTATCTGGATTCCAAGCAGTTACATCCAGTGGATTCTGTGCAGCATACCATAACCCTTCCCTACGCAGGACTAGACTGCACTTCATAGACC